GAATACCAATGAAGCAGCAAAACACCTCATAACATGGATGAACCTTGAGGACATTAGGCTGAGTGAAATTAGTCAGTCACAAAAGGACAAATATTGCATAAGACCATTATTCTAAAAGCATAAGAAAATATTTCCATACTAAAAGAAAAAATTTTTATTTGATGGTTATCAGGGGTGGGAGGGAGTGGACAGTCAGGCACAGATTAGGGGATAATCAGGTAATGGGGAGAGCAATATACAAGGAAGGGGAGGGCATTACATAAGAAATGGAAAGGGGTGGAAGAACAAAGAAGACAGGGAAACAACTTAGGTAGGTTTGCACAGGCTAAATGGGACCAAAGTAAATAGTGATATATACTCAATCTTGGAACAACAGGGCTTTGTTACACAGAGATCGAGGCATAATCTGAATGGGTAAAAGAGGGGAAATAATGTTAATATGCTTGACTGTTTTGTGGGCATTGGTTTTCCTTGTCTACTATTGTAAAATAGACCTTTAAGCAGGATAGAAAGGAATATTGGGAAATATGATTACAGAAAGCTTATAAACCCATCTTCAGCTTATAACTAACTGATTGGAATACCTAAAAGGGCTTCTAAAACTTGCCCAGTGACATAGACTTCTTGCGGAGCCTTTGTAGTATATAGGACCATAGGTCAAATCCTGAGCCACATCCAGAACCTTCTGAGGTGGGACATTCCCATCAGGAAAGACATGCATATCAACCCGAAGCAGCTAAAGGAACAGAAGAGAGTTCTTGAAATAAAGACCAGCGGTGGGGGAAGCAGACTGTTTGGCTATTACAAGAACAAACAAGCTGTTCGCCTGGGAGCCATCATGGTCCTTCAGAACAAACCCCTTTCAAAGATTGAAGCTCAAAAGGAACACACGAGCAGGCTTGTAAGCTTGCTGGTGACCGCGTTGATCTACTTGTGAGTGGAAGTGGGGAAAAGGCAGTAATAAAGACATGGGCTGAGCTTGACCATGTTCCATAGAATCCTGTCGACCTACATGAGAAAGAGAAGAGGAAGGTCTAGTTGTTCCAAAGTTTGGGGAGACTTGGGAACTCCTGAGCCCACGGACACTGACCTAGCCACTGGGGGCTAGAGTTCAGAGTGAAGCATATGAAGTGGGAGGAGATACACAAGAATGCCCACATTTTCAGGTAGTACCCATTTGATCTAGCTTGGATAGCTTGATAATCAGAACTCTACTGTTGTTTTTTGTTAGGTGCCATCGAGTCAGTACTGACCTTATGCACAGCAGAGCGAAACACTGCCTGATCATGGGCCAACCTCACTAGAGTTGCCACACTTGAGTCCATCGATGCTGCCACTTGGCCCATCCATCTCATTGGGGGTCTTCCTCTTTTTCTTTGACCCTCCACCTTACCAAACATGATATCCTTCTCCAGAGACTGGTCCCTTCTGACAATATGTCTGAAGTATGAAAGACGAAGTTTCGCCATCTTGGCCTCCAAGGAGAACTCTGGCTGCACCCAGCCCCCATTATAGGTAGCCAACTACATCCATAGTAA